AATGAGTCCTATTAATCATGTATCTATAATAAAACCAGTTATCTATAAGTGGTTGATTTTCAATGAATTTCTGCTAAAGTTTGAGAATTACTGGCCCACTTTTACAGATGGGGAAGCTAGGGATCAGACACTAGATTTTACACAAAGATTCACACTCATGACTAGAACTCAGCTATACACACCATAAATGCTCCCTTGAACAGGATCACATCTAACCCTTTCTCCCTCTATGCATCATAGGTATTAAAACCGACCAAACCATGGTTTAGTAGAAAACATTCTTTGAGCGTTGAGCATACTTATAGTGCTATTTATATGACATTACCTGTCTATCCATACTGCCCCAACCCCAATTAACCATCATTCAATTATGAATGCCTCTTTGACTTCCTCATCTTTGAATAACCCACATTCTCACTGATCATCATACAATTGCTTTTAGCATTTGGTTTGTCTTCACTGAGAAAGGAAAGAGGTTGTGAATATTCAACTGTTTAAGCTAACAGTGACCATTTATTGGGTGGTCAATAGAACGCAAGATTTGGTGGATTATTTAGTTAAATCCTCACAGCTTTCTTTTTTAAATATTATCCCACTTTAAAGATGAAGAAATGTAGATAGTAAAATAGGTCAAAGGACCAACGGACTTAAGATCCACACTTAAGCCTCTTTACCAAGAATCATAATTTTAGTCCTCATGCTGCTTAAAGAAATTAATAAATAACTCCGAGGTAGCTGAATCTTAGTGTGCTATTATTAGTACACTGGAATCTCTCCCTTCACTTTAGGCCTTAAGTGGCGCCTCCCTAGCTATTCAGCAATTCCAGGTCTTTCTGGTTCCCAGTCTCAGTCCAGTCACAAGGTCCTCTAGTTGTTTTACCAGCTTCCTTCAGCCCAGTCCTCTCTACAGTAAGCCTTCACTAACGTCACTGATGGGCTCTTGGAAACTGTGACTCCAAGCAAAATGTTGTACAATGAAAGCAATTTTACCACAGGCTAATTGACTAAGTTCCTATGGCATATTTCTGGTCAGAAAAACATCTCCAAATTTCTAAATAAAGAT